CAGACCAAGCCTGTCGGCACTGCCGCCGGTCTCATCAGGAAGTCTCTGAGCACCTGACCCACAGAGCTGCTGGTGGCCGACAGTCTCCCCATCCCCGGTCCCTCCAGAAAGCTCCAGCACGGCCGTCAGCAGCCAGCAGCAGGTTCCGTGTGGACCGAGACAGCCGTCCACACCCGAGGCCATGTAACCACACTGTCGGCCACGCTTTCCAGTGAAAGTAGGTTCTGCCAAGAAACCCAACGTGCTGGGGAGGTTCTGTTCCCACATCAGTGTCTCTGGCAGGCGGGTGGGCTTTGTGTGTAACAGGATTCTGGAGCTTCGCCCTGTCGTCAGTCCCACAACACCTTGACCTTGGAGGTTTCTCCCAGTTGGAGGGGCAGCACCTTCTCAGAAACAAGGAAGGTGGTCCTTCTCACTGGTTTTTTGTGACAAAGTGATGGTGTTGTTTCCAGTGACTTTAGATTTTCTGAGCCAGCGGTCCAAATTTCAAATAATACATTAAATTTAAACAAGAAAAGCGCATCATAGACAAACTCAGAGGAGTGGGGTGGGCTGATGGGAAGCAGGACTGAGGACACTGTACAGGGAGGGGCAGGCTGGGGACACAGTTGGGGCCTGAGGGCCCCGCAGAGCGCTGCTCTCCCTGGGAGGGCCGGGGGTGGAGGGGCAGGGTTGTGGCAGCCTGGGGCCTGCAGGCCCTGGCGGGTTACGAGTCTCTGGCCGCATGGGAAGGCCAGACTGGGACTGGAGTGGGGGTGCGATTTCTTCGGGCAGGTGGCCCCTTTGCCTTTCGGTCACTCCCGTGTGGCGGGAACTCAGTTGTCTGCGTTCCTCACACCCCTCGGCTCCACGCCAACCAGGTTTCACTCGCAAGTGCAAATGTTCCCACTTTAACACAAATGAGAACGAACCACTGCCGTGGCTGTCCATCGCTCTGGGGGTCAAGGCTGCAGTCCTCAATGTCTTCTGCCTCAGCGCCCCTTCTCATAGTGCACTGCACCCTCCGCCACTCTGGCCCTTCCCCCGCATACCAACCTCACCCTCCGACCACAGGCCCTTTGTGTCCGCCCTGCGCTCCCAGACGGTCTCCTTTTCACCAGCAGGGTCCTGCCGCACATCTGGCTCCTGCCCCACCTGACCGGGGCAGACCCTATTTCTGTCCCTTGGGGGTCCCCAGTGGTATTCCCACAGGGACATCTGAGACAGACGCCTGCCCCGGCGAGACTGAATTCCATGAGGGAGGGCCCCGAGGCTGAGGCAGCGAGGCACCTGTGCTCTGCGCTCCCTGTTGGTGGCAGCAGGAACAGGGAGACAAACGCGCAGAAGGATGACCAGGCAGGCCCAGGGAGGCAGGGTGGGGGTGGGGGGTTGGCTGGGGGCTGGAGGCCGCCCTCAGGGAAGGCAGTGCTGCTGTACAGAGGACGCCGGCACCGGCACTGGAGGATGGGGCGTGGGCCTGGGAGTCCGAGGTGCAGTGGAGAAACACGCTGGGCAAGTTTGAAGATGAGACGGCTGGAGTGGGGGGCGGGGAACAAGCACATTCGGAGGGGAGGTGGCATGGGGCCTGGGGCCGGCACCTGCTCCACCTGTGTGCACCCTGGGCGAGAGCGTAGAAGAGCTCCAGGAGGTGCAGGCAGGGAGGGAGGGTCCTCACTGCTTCCTTTTGCTTCGTTTCCCAAGAGGGTGCTAGGAGCACCAGGGTGGTGCCTGGCAGTGGCGTCCAGCCGGCTGGCGAGGGAAGGAGGAGCCAGGTGCCACCTGCTTCATCTGTCCTCTGCTTTTCCCTGCTCCACATGGACCAGGGTGGTCGTGGACACTGGGGCTTGTGTGTCTGTGGTTCTGTAGGCCGGTCCTGGGGGCAGGTGTCCCTGTGCGGGAGGGGGGGGTTGGGGGTGTGTGTGTGCAGGAAGCCGTCTTCTCAGCAGGGGCTGTTTCCCCACCTGCACAGGTAAAGGAGATCCCGCACGCTGTTTTCCCACCCCCAGGCTGCGGTGTCTCCACATCGGTTTGTCCATTTCTGTTCTTTCTGAAGCATCGTCAGACATACCTGGCACACGTCACATTCCTACAAGTTCCAGCGTACATCCTTAAAAACACAGGCATGAGTGCACACGCCCCGCATGGGGACAGGCTCCGTGCACCCTCTGGTGCCGGGCCCTGTCAGGGCCCCTCAGTTGTCTGTTAGAGCGGCCGGCTCGCCTGAGTGCTGTCTGTGCTCGCTAGGTCTCCACCTCCTTCGCCCAGACCCCCCACCCCGTGCCATTTACGCCTTGGAAAGCAGGCCTCCTCCAGGCTGGCTCGCGTTCTGCTGTGCTTCTGCCTGCATCCTGGTAACCCCTCTGTCCTCCTGGCTCCTTCGAAGGGGAGTGAGCTCTTGAGGCTCAGTTCGTCTCCGCAGCCTTCTGGCACAAGTGTCTGTCTCAAGGGGACACCCTGTGCTTCCTGCCGTGCCGAGCGGCAGGTGGCAGAGTCAGGCTGTTGCTCTTCGAGGTGTGCTCAGGTGGGCTTGGGAGCTCAGGTGGTGGGGGCCCCTCCCTGTGCTCCATGTGAAGTCTGGTCAGCATTTCACCTGTTCCCGCCCATTGCTCACCTGGCTTGGGAGCTGCGTGAGGCTTTCATTCACTAGCTGGGGGCTGCAATAGCTTGAGAGACAGCGTGGATGTTTAATTCTTTTCTTTTAATTGCTGATTTTCAACAAGGTGCCTAGTTACTTTCTGTTCACCCAGTGCCTCGAGTCCTTCTGTCCCTCTGTCCCCCTGCCTGCCCCTCTCCCCGGTTCCACGCACCCCCAACCCTGGGGATGGCGAGCTCGTGGGGGTTTGCAGCTGTGTTTTAGTAGATTGCCGTCACCATGCCTTTTGGTGCTCCGTTGTCCCGTTTTGGGCCAGTGGGAGCCTCTTTATAAGTGGGTACCGGTGTTCCTCTGGCAGGGTGGCACGCCGCATGCCCGGGGTGCCCACTCACTTCATGCAGTGCTGCTCCACCTGGAAGCCAGCTGTCCCCAGGGGTCTCCTGCACGTGGTGGGGGATTGCCGGCTGTCGTCACTGAGTCTTGGCCTTGTCGGTGGACAGGCCTAGAACAAAGACACAAATTCAGACCGGTACTTCTAAATTCAGTGTTACGGTGCCGTCTTGTTCTCTCACACCCAACCTTGGTTCCCAGCCTGAGCGCCTGTCGGCACTCCCCCACTGCACAAAGGGGCTGCTGCTGCAGGTCAACTGTCAGAGGGAGTTTGAGTTCACTGAAGCCTCGTTTATTAACAGAGTCTGTCCTTTGGAGGAGGTACATTTTGTGCTAAAATTTTAGGGGTTTTTCTTTTTGGTGTAATTTTACTTTTTGAATATTTAAACATTTACATGTTTCCAGAGTCAAAGCTGCCTAATGAGGCACACTCAGAGCCATTTCAGTTTCACTCCTTCCCTTCCTCCACCGTAAAGAACCATTCAAATTGGATCGGCCTTCTCCACGCTCGCTTTTTATACACCACGTGAACACTACGTGCATACACGAGGCACCCTCATGTTTCCTCGCTGTTTTCCTGAGCAGCATGAGGGGCCTGGGCTCACCCCACCTCAGTGCGCCGTGCCACGTTCCCCCCCACCCCCCCAGGGGACCTGGGCTGCCTGCAGCTTGGCTGCGACAGCCGCTGCCTCCCTGGGTGAACTGGGACCTAGGCTGCTGCCTCGGTTTGGCGCTGTGTCTTGGGGTCACTCTGCACACGTGCAGTGACCCAGTCGAAGGAGGGGTGTGTGTGCGCTCCCCGACACCAGCTGCGTTTCCGCTGACGTGGGGTTATCCTGATGCTTCCACCCAGAAGGGGTTTGACTGACTTTGCCGTTTTAATGTTGAAGAAATCTCAATGACCAGTGTACCCCATCTTTGTATGGGGCGTATCACTGAGAGTGTTGTTTAAGCTCTGTTGGCTTTCATTAGTTAATGGAAGTGCCACTCGCTGAGCTAGAACACAGGGGGTGGAGAGACTGCAAGACACAGTCCTAAACCTCAGAAGGGTCCAGGTTGGATATTGGGTATATTTCTTCCTCTTTGCTCCTCACTCCATTTGTCGGGCACTTTATCCCACGTTGGCTGTCAGGAGACGAGCAGTGAGGCACGAGGAGGCATTTGAGTCTGCCGTCCCAGGCGGCAGCGGGTTCCATCTGGCGGCGGGGCTGGCATCAGAAGACTGTGGAGACGCGGTCGGCTGGGAGCGACGCAGCTCCTCCCTGTGACAGGGAGCGGCACACGGAGTTCCTCCCATCACAGAGTGTGACAGGGAGCGGCACATGGAGTTCCTCCCGTCACAGAGTGTGACAGGGAGCGGCACACGGAGTTCTTCCCGTCACAGAGTGTGACAGGGAGTGGCACACGCAGCTCCTCCCGCCCGGGGTTTCCATCCTGGCACAGGAGACCGATCAGCGCCCAAGGGCAGGGAGATAATGACCAGTTCTGTGTGCTTTGAAGGAATCTAGTAAGAGAGAAACTAGCGTCTTGGCCAGGAGCCTTCCTTCTCCAGGCGGGGGCGGGCAGCTGGCCCCCCAGTTGCAGGCAAGTGGGGAAGAGCCTGTGCAGTGGCCCGATGCCGGTGCCAGAGTGGGGTGCTGGGGAGCTGAGCCAGGAGGCCAAGCGTGTTGGGGGTGGGGGTGGGGCAAGGTCGTAGTAGGACTTTGAGGTTTAGGTGAAGGGTATCATTTCATTGTAAGTGCATCAGGAAACCACTGAGGACAGCGGGCAGGGGCGTGCCCTTCGACCCCTGGGGCCACCCGTCAATCCTTCCTTCAGACAGGAAGGCTGCGGCTCCAGAAGCAGCGACACTGCTCCTCCTGCATCCACAGTGGGGGTGGTTTTCCCTCTTGGGCCTTTGCATGGGACCACTGCCTCCCGTGCTCCCCGCAGGTCGTCCGGGAGCTTGTCTGTTCTGGCAGCGCTCCCTTGGTAGCTGTGTTGGGTTTACACCTGGGCTCTGAGCAAGAGCATGATATCTGCACGTTCTCTTCTTCAGACCTGCAAATCCACGGACACCTCTCTCTGGAAGACACGGGCGTCCTTGTCAAGAGCAGAAAAGGTGTGTGTCTGCTGTCACAGTTATGTGAAGTTAACAGCCACTTTCTGGACAAAAAGGCCTTTTCAGTGTTTGTTTCTGTTCCTGTTCCAGGAGCCTGGAGCGTTGCCCTCGCAGGGCACCCTGCGTAGGGCGGGGCCGCACACCCTGAGCCACAGAATTCACTTCCTGGGCCACTCCTGTCCGACACGTCGGAGGCAGGATGTCATCCTGACTCTTCGAGGGGAGCCTGCAGGGGACCGAGACCAGCACGTGGCATCTCACCCTGTACTGCAAGGGACACTGCACGGTCTTCTCTCTGCAAGTGAGAAGGACGAGACTGCTCCACTAGAGAAAGGTTCCCTGGGCTTAAAACGCACAGGTTTGCACCTCGAGAGCCCCTTGGAATGTTGACAACTCAGGGCCTAAAAGGGAGTTCTGTGTTGATGAGTGCCAGGATTCCTGTGGGAGTGGAGGCCACCTTATAACCGATAGCAGCGCTGAGTGAGGAACACTATGCAGGACGGCACCTTCCGTAGAAAGACAGGCAGGGAGATGCTCAGGCCGGCCACCACGCTCCCGGAGAGGGCAAGCCTGAGGCAGGCCGCCAGCACGGCCGCCTGAGAGACTCGGTGCCCCCGCCGCCCTGTACCTGTCGTGGTCGTGAGCAGCTTCTCCTCTGAGCCGCGGTACCAAATAGGGAAAATGATCTACAAGTGCCCCATGTGTAGGGAGTTTTTCTCTGAGAGAGCAGACCTTTTCATGCACCAGAAAGTCCACACAGCCGAGAAGCCCCATAAGTGTGACAAGTGTGACAAGGGTTTCTTTCACATATCAGAACTTCACATCCATTGGAGAGACCACACAGGGGAGAAGGTCTACAAATGTGACGATTGCGGTAAGGATTTTAGCACCACCACCAAACTTAACAGACATAAGAAAATCCACACGGTGGAAAAGCCCTATAAATGCTATGAGTGTGGCAAAGCCTTCAACTGGAGTTCACACCTTCAGATTCACATGAGAGTTCACACAGGCGAGAAGCCCTATGTCTGTAGCGAGTGTGGGCGGGGCTTTAGTAATAGTTCAAACCTCTGCATGCATCAGAGAGTCCACACCGGAGAGAAACCCTTCAAATGTGAAGAGTGCGGGAAGGCCTTCAGGCATACTTCCAGCCTCTGCATGCATCAAAGAGTCCACACTGGGGAGAAGCCCTATAAATGTTACGAGTGTGGGAAGGCCTTCAGCCAGAGCTCCAGCCTCTGCATCCACCAGAGAGTGCACACCGGGGAGAAGCCCTATAGATGTTGTGGGTGTGGGAAGGCCTTCAGCCAGAGCTCCAGCCTCTGCATCCACCAGAGAGTGCACACTGGGGAGAAGCCTTTTAAATGCGATGAGTGTGGGAAGGCCTTCAGTCAGAGCACCAGCCTCTGCATCCACCAGAGAGTGCACACAAAGGAGAGAAACCATCTCAAAATATCAGTTATATAAAGCGTTTTGCTAAGAGTTAAAAATCTTAAAACCCATAAGTGCCACTAGGAAGGAAACCCTGTAAATACCTGCATTGACTCAAGAAATTTCACAGCAACCACTAGCAGAACACTCTTTTCAGAGAGGTATGCGCAAGGCTGACTGTTGTGATCCTCGCCCAGTGTGTCCCACCACTTGGCTTTGAATCTGGAGTCCCTCCGGCTGTCCTCCCAGGACGGGCCGGGAGGTCCCAGTGCAGCCTCCATGGCAGCGCGGGTTTGCGTCTCCTCGGATCCCAGCCGACACCTCAGTGGCTGCACACTGCACAGGGAACCGTGGGCATGGCCTAGCCTCCTGCGTCACCCTGCCCCGGCAGGCACCCCGGGGACTCCCCTCTCGACTCAGGCGTGCCCGTCCACATGTTTGACACACACGGCCCCCACCGAGACAGTGCTCCGGCATTTCTGAGGCCCCACTCGATTCGACCCTGTGTAGGTCCCATTATTTCTGAACCCTCTGCCTCTGCCTGTATGTCCTCAAATACCTGTGAGACCCACCCCTTCCTAGGTGGCATTGGATTCCATCAGATTTTAGGTCACAGTTTCCATTGGCCTGTTGGAGGAATTGTTGGCAGACATATGTGCCCTTGAACTTTTTTTTTGTGTGTGGATTCTGTTAATCACTGCATCTCAGTTAGACTTACGTTTCTAGTGGCTATGTCACATTTTTCAGTTGAATTTTTTTTAAATAGCTCAGTGTAAATAGGGAGGAAGAAGCAAGCAAGGTTAGAGCTTTTCTCCATCCAGCACTGCCCTCTGGGGCCCTTTTGTAACTCGGAGCTTCCTCGGAGCCAGGAGAAGCAGGCGCAGGGAAGATGCCCTGTGACCTTTAGTCTCCGGTTCCTGGATTTGGGGCGCTAATGAACAGGAGTCCTCGGTAACCCCGTCGTTGAGGATTATGTATTGGTTCTTTTTTCAGGCACGGATGTCTGTGTTGATTATCCTTTTCTTTCTTCGTCCATTCAACGAGTATTTATTGAACACCTCCTATGTGCCAGGCACTGTGCTGGGTGCTGGGGATAGACAGTCAAGGGCCCCTGCTTGTGGAGTTTACTGCTGGTGGAGGAGACAGGCGATGCGCAAGTACACAGATAAATGATGTAGTTTGAGATAGTGATTAAGTGCTATGAAGAAAATAAACTCGGGTGATGATTTAGCGGGGGAGGGGGTGGGGGCGGGGCATCCGTAGGTAGCGGTCAGGCCAGGCCTTGCTGAGGGCTGCGGGCCTCCGGGGGGTTGTGGAGCGGGCAGAAAGTGGGCGCCGCGGCACGGGCACCGAGCTGCCCGGGGCCTGACAGTTCTAGGCCTTTTTTTTTTTTTTTGCTAGATGAATATTAAAAACTCATGTGGAAGAACTCAAGGAATGTTTAGAAGACCAAAAGTCCCCAATGACAGGAACAAAAAGCATCTGATTCGCAACCTCGTTTCTCTTCTCATTCCTGTTTTCGTTGATTTCCCACATGTAGTCCTTTTGCTCAGGAAGTCTTGGGGACGTGGCGGATCTTTGAGGCTCTGAAACGGGTGACCGTGTCCGTGGTGTCTGTCAGCTGTCACAGCGGTTGGACAGTGAGCCACCCAGAGTAGTCACGGAAATACTGAAGCGAAGCCGAGTTGCTCACATTTGCATCCTCTGCTCTTTGACTGGAAGGGGTTTTGTGGAACGAAAACCTCAGAGCGAAAGGAGATTCAGGAGGAGCACGTGATTTCATAGGTGGGCTGCGGAGGGACCCAGGGCCTGGGGTTCAGGGGCCCCTGTCTGGCTCAGACTCCGGACGCAGCGGGCACGCCCCTCGGGAGGCCCTTCTCTCTCACGCCCTCAACCGTTGGAGGGGGGCTGGTGCGTTCCAGTGGAGCCGCTCCCGGCCCAGGGTGCGACCGCCAGTGCCGCAAGTGTTTCATTCACGCCTCGGGGGCACTAGGGGAGCCTAGACTTAGTCGGTAGGGAGCCAGTCAGAGTATCATTGGTAGAATTTTAGTTTTAGGAGAAATTGGTTTGAATTCTAGCTTTACTACTATTAGGTATGTGAGCTTGGGCCAATCACTTAACCTCTGAGTCTAGTTTTCTCACGAAACGAGGATGTTAGGCTGAGCGGTTTCCAAGTGTCCGGCTAGTCCTAGAGGTCTATATTTCTACATAGTTGAATTATTTTATCATGCTGTTGCTGGGGAATATGGCTAACACTTTGGAAGCTACTAATTTTATGTCAAGCTTTAAATTCCATGATTGTTATCTTCAGAAAATATTATTTGACCTACAGTATGTCCAAATCAATTTAATAAAATCACTTTATAACAGGGTTCTGTGCTTGACGTGTGTGGTGGGGGGGTGACCGTGTGACTCGCCCTCCGGCCAGACACCTGAGAGTAAAAGGGTGGTGGTGTTGTGGACACCTGAGTGAGGTCGAGAGGCCAGAACGGGCCGTCCCAGCCAGCAGGGCCAGCCCACGCCAGAAACCAGTGTCTACGTCGCCTGAGGAATAATCCGGAGAGGAGTTGGTGGCCTGATCCCGGGGAGGGGCGCAGGCCGTCCTGGGGACAGCCCCTCCTGGGCGGCCGCAGGGGCGGTGGGGGGTGCTGGCCCAAGGCCCCCGCCCGGTCTGCCCTTGAAGAAAAAGTGACGACTGAATGACTTTCTGGTGCCGGCAGTGAGCTCCCGCTCACCAAGGGACCCACTTCAGCGGTTTGTCCTGTTTGGCCGGCGCCTTAGGCTTTGGTCCCACCCTGCAAGCCCCCGTCTGGTCCCTGCTGCTTGACCCCCACCCCCGTTGCCGGTGCTGCGTGGCAGGCTCTTGCTGGTGCTCTGGGGGCAGTGCCCCAGGCAGCCCTCGGGGGCACATCGGTTGTGGGGGGAGGGGAAGAGAGCCCACACGTGGTCTCTGTCACTGTTGAGCTGCGCGTGGTGCCCACGCAGAGTGAGTGTGAGAGACGGTGAGGCCGGCCTCCGACGTCCAGTGGGCGTTCTGGACGGTGTCTGGTGTGGTGTGAGCGTGGGCATCAGGCCTTCCAAGACACCCTCCCAGCTCTTGGTTCTGTTGCCCTGAAACATTTAGAACTGTTGAGCATTTTTTCCTTCATAAGAACTCACTTCTATTCTCAGGAATTTTAGAAACTAGGTGAATGGAACACGAGTGTCGGAAACAGTGGTCCAACGAAACCCCAGGGAAGGGATGCGGACGAGCCCTGCAGTCTGGGGCAGGTGCCGGGGAGGAGGGAACTCAGGGTGCGGATCCAGATTCCGAGGAGGGGAAGTGGGAGGCGGTGCCGCACCGTGAGGCCCCCCGCAGTGGCGGGGAGTCTCCAAACCTCAGCTTCCTCAGCTACAAAACGGTCCTGATTCAGGAGACGGCTGGGAGAGCGCGGCTGAAGAGGCCCGTACAGACTGCCCCCATGCAGTCCTGCAACAGAAAAAAGCACCGCTAATCCCAGTCGCCTGTTCAGGAAGATGAGTCGCGGTTCTTGGAGTTCTTTCTGTCCTGCCAACCATGGAGACAGGTTGGGGCTTCTGAGTTTGGTGGTAGGACCAGAGCTGGCTGAACTGCACCCTGGCATCTGAGAGAGAAGACCTGGAGCTCCCAGCACTGGCTGGGACAAGAAGACACAGTGAAGCAGGGAGGGGAGTTGAGGGGAGGGGCCCAGGGGGTTGGACCATGTGAACTTGCAAGATTCCCATCCAAACGCAGACCTGCCCCCGAAGTCTCGGGATGCGTGGTCTGAGTGCAACTCCTCTGGAGAGCAGTGGACGGACAGTCGGCACGCCGGGGCCAAGCTGACGTGGGGCAGGAGTACCATGCGTAACGGAGTCAGGTGCCACACGGAAGGGGCCGTGGGGCCGTGAGCTCGCAAGTCTCGGGGAGAGCCCCGGGGGGCGGGAGGCCTCTGGGGCCTTCGGCACCACTCCTGGTGTCCAGGGGGTAGAATAATTGCAAGATCACAAGTAAATTAAAACTTTTTAAAACGATTTCTGTGTTTTACTTAAAATTTTTAAGGGGCATAAAAGCAACGGCAAAGAAAGATCCCAGGCCTTGGGTTGGGGACACGTCGCCAGGACTTGGCATAAAACCTGAATGGACGGCGACTGTCACGGCAAAGCACTTTCATTGCTCAGATTTAGTCATTTGCTAATAAGACACATTTTCGCAGTCAAGGACAGCATGCACCGATTGCTCTTGCTGATTTCCGGGGGTCTGTGCATTTTACAGGCTCTGTGTTTTGTGCACCCTGCCCCTTGTGCCTCCTAAAAACTGCAGCCGGGAGTATGTCCCCCAGAGACTCCCCCCTCCTCTGACACCACCCCTGTCCTACCCTGGCCAGGTCTTCCCAGCCTGGTGAATTTTGGTGGGAGGGTTGTGTTTGGAGAGTTTTAAACCCAGAACCCATAGATGGGTTCCATAGAGGTCTAGAACCTTCTTAAAATTGTGTGCAGGATTTTGTGTGTGGGTACACGCATTTGCCCGTCGGGAATGCCCTCTCCGTGTAAGCACGCTGACGCTCCAGTCTGCGGCCGCCTGTCCAGGGCGCGAGCCCGTCAGTATTCCCAGCCCTTTCCCGACATCCTCAGTGTCCTGGCTTCACACTGGCCACGGTGTTGGACCCTTTCCAGGTCGCGGGGCAGGAAGACCTGTGAATGACCCTTTCTCCAGTGGAAGTGTTTCAGTCTCAGCGCAAGTGCTGAGCAAGACCCCCGAGAGACCCTCGGGCTGCAGGATGCTTGCGAGATACAGATCTTCAGCCTCCCGGGACGTCGTTGGAGGCCTGTCGGGCTCAAAAGGTGGCCCGACAGCACCGCAGCCCCAGAGAGGGGGTTTTAGCCCAGAGGTCACCAAAGCCGACAGTTAACCCTTTACCTCTACTTCCCTCCCAGGCAAAACCACATGGGACGTGTAAACCGTCTTCATGTCCTAGGAGTAGACATTTCTGTCTTAGCATATTTATTGTTGTAGTGGCCACAGCCATTCAGCGGGAGGAACAGAGTCCCCAGTGTCTTGCACAGAACACTGGAAAGAGCGTTCAGAGACTTGCGAAGGGGGGGATTAAGCTGGCCAGACGCCCGCGTGTCCTGAAGTTGCCATGCGATCCCGCCGCCCATTCTGGGCCTGCAGTCGGAAGGGGCATCTGCACCCCCGTGTTCGAGGCTGTGCTCCTCACAGCGGCCGACAGGTGCGCCGGCCCGGTGTCCATTGACAACATGCCATCCATTCGCATGATGAGTATCACTGGGCCATGTGAGGGGAGGGGCCCTGCGCTGCAGGGCGCTGCAACCAGGCTGCAACCAGGCTGCAACCTGCGCTGCAACCAGGGCGGACCTGGAGGACGCCGTACCCCATGCAATGAGCCAGGCGCCGAAGGGCCACGCTGCAGATTCCATGTGTGTGAGGGACCCAGACCGTCTCGTGCGCCGCAGGGAGCAGCTGGGTGGGGGGCTGGGAGTCGGTGTCTGACGGGGGCTTCAGTTTGGGAGGCTGGGACAGCACTGGAGGCGGATGGTGGTGACGGTCCCACAGCCATGCAAATGGCTCACAGCCCCAAGTGCTCCTTGCTACACCGGCGCAGCCTGGCAGGCGAGAAAGCCTCCCATAAACAGTTACCGCATGGAGTCCTGACCGTGTCTGTGGGAGTGCGACCCAGGTGCAGAGGCACCGCGGAGCCAGCACGGACAGCCCTCCTGGGGCCGCGGGAGCCAGCGGAGGCTTCCGACATCAGGGCTTCAGGGGATGCGTAGGAGTTCGCCTACCGGGTACAGCCGGAAAGCAGCGGGGACGGACCACCTCGTGGTTCTCAAAATTTGTCCTGCTCCAGACACCCTGGAGGGATCGTGAAACTGGGATCCCCAAACCCCACCTTGGTTTCTGGTTCAGTGGGTGTGGCCATGGCACCTGAGAACCGTTGTGACTATTAAGTCCCCAGGGGCTGCTGCCCCAAGGAGCACACGGTGGCGGGGGGGGGAACTGCGGAGGCCCAAGAGGACATGAAGCCTGCAGGTGCGGGGTGTGTTTGGGGACCTGTATGTCACCTCGAGTCACTGCAACCAAGTGTCTAAGCGGTGCATTAGTGAGTCGGGGAGGCGTGGGCAAGGGGAGTAAAGAAGCACACGCGTGTACATCTGTAGCAGCAGCAGGCGCTCTGTGTGATACTTGTGCACAATGGGATGGAGTGTCCAACCCTGATGATGCGTGACACACTCGTAATGTTCAGCCCACGTGATGTGATATGATACATCATATGTGGTACCGTACAATGTGATGGCCCCTGGGTGTTGCACCCACTTTACAGATGGGGTCATTGTGGTGCTATCACATGGCTGCTGGCTGGACAGAGAGTTGTCGGAGACAGGGGCCCCTGGGCTTGGTGGCTGATGCGACCTGGAGAGGGACATGGACGTCTAAATTTTGGATTTTGGAGGTAGATCCCCAGGAGATGCAGTGACCACACCAGAGGTGGGGGACAGAGAGGTGCAAGGTTGCAAGTGTTCTGTCCGGATCGGGGGACAGGTAATCCCTTCTCCACACAGTCCGCGTCCTTCCCCGCCCACCACTCGCTTCCCGGTTACCTCTGTCTTTTATTTTCTCATTTCACTCACTGTCTAACATGTCTCCCTGCTGGTTGGCAGATGAGCAAGCTATTCACCGATGTCTTCATCGTCCTCAGGGACTTACGGTTTGTCAGGAAAACCATAATAAGGTGGTGGCTGGACAGGGGACAAGGGGCAGGATGTCAACTCCCTGTCGGCATCCAGGCTGCTTGAGAGCGTGTCTTCTTTTTAGGAAGAAAAATTTCGCAGAAGAAAAAATGGAGCACTTGACGCCCATGCGCCCATCCCACGACGGAACACTTCTTACCCTGTGTGGTTTTCACCCCTTTCCCCTGAGACAGTTCGGCGTGGCCTTCTGACTTTGGGACAGCTGTTCTCCGGGCGCAGGAACATGGGTCTCCAAAAGCCAGGATGATTTCCCCATCAGCCACAGCGTGCTGTCCGATTTGTCCGACTGTTTCGCCTCTCCGTCTGTCCATCCCTCCATCCGTCATTCCCTCCTCGTCGCCCAGGACATTTCAGAGCGAGACGCAGACGCCCGGGTACCCCAGGCCAGGCCACGGGCAGAGTTCAGCCTCTGCGGATTGCTTCCCTTTGGGGTCGTCTCGCGTACAGCAACAGGCAGGTATTTTCAGGGCCGTGTTCTTTGGGTTAGGACAAATACGAACGCCTCCAAACCCCTCTTCAGAGAGGGAGCAGTATGGTCGCCCCGGGGAGCTGCTCCCCGCCCTAGCCAGCGCCCCGCCGCAGGCAACCCCTGTTCTGGTT